AGTGCGCCTCCAAATGTTTATTAATTCCGTCACAGACGCTACATTCTGAGCGGTTTGTGAGCAGGGATGACCAGAGACAGATCATGTTGCCACACGAACACGCCTAAGTATCTCGAGGATCGAACGTTTTCAACATGAACATTCCCAGTTAATAATACCAGAAAAAATGAACTCAAGGTTATTCGAGATCCAGGTCATTCGTGCTGAAAGATACTATAACTCAACAGCACATATCCGTGTGGCGAATGCCCAGTGACCACCAGTTCCAATTCGTAACGCTATTCCTTAGCAAAAATATGTAGCGTAATGTACCACCGCCTGGACCTATTGATAGCGTAACACCCCGCCCTAGAGTAGATCGGTCGTGTTACGCCACTCTCTGGCGTAAATTGCCTAAAATAAGGCTAACTTCCCTCTTCTGGCTTTTATCTAGCGCTCATAAGTTGCAGCTTCAGAAAGCGGCGCCACAGTTTTGATCCTGTTCGCCGTTATCTCGAGCACCATTTCTCTGTTGGCTCAGTGCCTACGGATCAGTGGGCGGCCCACGAACAGATCTGGGTGGGCGGGGAGGGAGAGAGCGCTCGAGCCGGTGGGCGCGGAGAGTCTAGTGCCAAAACTCGCTTCAGTGTCGGTGGCCTGCGCCGGTGGCATGGCCAGCCCGGCCCGGTGCCGTGTGGGCAACACGGGCATTGTTCTTTAAACGTATTTGTAAGCCTTACTGTTGGGTGATGGTTGTTTGTGGTTACAGGTTGTTTGTGTTGACAGCAAGTTGGCGAGAAATGCCGTTAGCCTCTGGTTGCGGTCTGTGACCTCCGGCGGACGGAGGTCGGCTTACGGGTGATGATGGCGCTGACTTTGAGACAGGTCAGGACCGAGCAGTGCACGGTAGGGCCGAGTACGTTAGGGTAGGGCTAACTAGGGCAGGGTAGGGCCTGACAGAAAGAGAAGAGCCGAATAAGACAGCGAAGGGGCGAAATAGAACGTCGTGGGATAGAGCAGGACAGGGCGGGGACACGTGGCCCAAGATGCAGCGGACATAGCTGAGTAGAGAGCCCGACGGGGAAATCATCCTGCGTCAGGGAAAATTCGTGCGGGGAAGCGCTGAACAGAGGAAAGCCAAATGCGGTCAGGCACAACAGAGGGAAAAGAAGGGACAGAGCTGGACAAAATACAGCAAGAAAGAACAGGACAGGAAGAGCAGGATAGAATTCAGCTGTGTCATAGATAACCG